GCGTAGCAGCGCGGGGGGGTGAAGACGGTGGTGGAGGCGGCGGCGGCCAGGCGGGGGCGGAGGGGCGAGCGCACCCACGCGGTCGGGGAGGGAGGGGGGGGGAGGGGGGGGGGATCGCGACGAGACACCGGCTCAGGAGGAGGAGGCGCTGGCAGAGGCGTGGGGGCTGCTGGGCGCGAGTGGGCGGGGAGAGGAGAGCACCGAGCGACTCTCTGCAGGCGCGGAGAGCGACGGCGAGCTTGTCGCGCGCGGCGCTGTACTCGCCCGACCCGATGTGCGCGCAAGCCAGGTTGTACGCCAGCTCAAACTGCTCCGCCTCGAGCCCCGCGGCGAGCGACGCGCCGTACGACGTCGCCGCCGCCGAGTCGCGAGAGAGCACCAGCGAGGCGAGCACGTTCGTGTAGTGCTCGGCGGCGGTGCCGTCCCCCTCGGAGGCGGCCTGCTCCGCCGCCGCCCGGAACAGCCGCGCCGCCTCGCCGTACTCGGCCTGTCTGTACTTGATCTGCGCCGCGAGCGTCTGCTCGGCGCCGCTCGCGCCGCTGAGGTCCGCCGGCAGCGCCCGCATCGCGTCCGCCTCGCGGCCGAGCTGGTAGAGGGCGTAGGCGCGCTCGTACCGCGCCGGCTCGCCCAGCTCCGCAGCCAGCGCCTCCGCCTCGCCGTACCGGCCGAGCTCCACCAGGCAAGTGAGCTTTGCACGCAGCGTCTCCGCATCCTCGGGCGCGAGCGCGAGCACGCGCTCGCAGGCGGCGAGCAGCGGCGGGAGAGCGTCCTCCGAGCCGGCACGAGCCTCCTCGACGTACCGCGACACCTCCGACAAGAGCGCCTCCTGCATAACGATGGCTCGGCCCTGTTCTCGCGGCGGCTGATAAAAAGAATTCTTCGGACCGCCATCCGCTTCAAACCAGCGCACCACACCCCTCTCCTTAAAATCCCTGTGTGGTGGCGGCGTGCCGTTCTCCCATCCCTCCCTTGGGATTCTGTTTTCTTTCTTTCTTTCTTTCAAACCAGTGTATGAATGAAACGTTGAGATGCGTGCCCCAGGAGGCCCTAGCCCTTGGGATGGGGAGGGGCTACTCGCGGGCCTTCATTCAGAGAGAGATTTTTTTGAAAACCCTGGAGGCCCTCGAGCACACCACGTGTGCACCAGCGCACCTCGAAGAGCGGTAGCATGATGTCGAAGGCCTCATCGCTCTGCGGCGCCTGCGGCGCCATGGTCAGCGGGCAGCAATTGCGATCCACGAAGTTTTTCAAAGGACGCGTGGGACTGCTGGAAAGTTCCGAGAAAAAGTGAAAAACTCCCTCGCCGCCTCGCCGTCCCCACCCGGCAGGCGTCTCGCCGCTTTCTTTATAATTTGGGTGCGTTCTGCAGTTAAGGGGTAACCTCCGGTACACCGTACACGGAACCATCCCTCGGTGCTCGGAGACCTAGCTCCGAGTACAGGGGGCGTGTCCTGCAGTTAAGCGGGGAAACCTGCGTGGACGTAACGTGGGTCTAACCCTCGGGTCGCCCGAGCCTGACTGTTCTTCACTTTCCTACATACATACATACAGAGCTCGCGTTCAACCCCTAGTTCTTTCCACAAGTTCAATCGATCGATCGCGATTTTCTTGGTCTTCAACTCTCTCCCAGCTGCGTGCTACTGCTCCAGCTCCAGCCAAACGACGGAATCGACGCGGAGAGCGTGGCACTCGAGAATATAATGCTGCAGTTCGCCGAGCTGGCGGCCCGAGCGCATGTTGTCGAAGCCCATGAAAGGGAAGGCCATGGGAGTTCGCCGAACTGCACCCAGAAAGGAGTTCCCGTTGTCGCCGCGCGCAAGCGAGCCGGTGCCGGCGGGGATTTCGTGGCACAGCACGAGCATCTTTTCGTCGTGCTCGTTGAGCGCATCGAAGAGCGACGCCGCCTCCGGCAGGTGGCAAAAGTAATCGCCTGGACTCGGGGCGGAGGGTGCGGGACGGTGGGAGGGGGGTGGGGCTTGGCCCCGGGGAGTGGGGAGAGAAAGGGCGCCGCGCGGGGCGGGGTGGGCGGCGGAAGCGGGTCGCCTGCCAGCGACTCAACGTGACAGATGGCGGCCACCTGTACACACAATCAGTGCTGACTTGGCGACAGCTATGACTGACGATGACGTTGCGCGCGACGGTCACCGTTCCCCGCTTGTCCGATTCGACGATCTGGTAGGCGGCTGTGGGCGCAGAGGTCACCTGTCGGTGGCGGCGTGGGCGTAGCGCCCATCAGTGCACAGCGGGCTGGCACAAAGTGCAGAGGCGAGGAGAGACGAGGGCGCAGGGGCGACGCGGGAGGGGCGGGGCAGGAGGGCGGGCCGGGAGGAACAGGGCGGAGGGGCGGAGGGGCGGCGCCTTAATGGGCGGCTCGGCGGTCGGCCCCGCGTTCTCGGCGACCCACTCGGAATTCTTGGCGGTCGAGTTGGAGCAGAGGAAGGTGGGTGCAGGGGAATTCCCCCTCGAAGCGACCTCGGTTCCTCCCCGGGGAACTACCTGGAACAAACTGTCGAAGAACAAACTGTACATTCGCTGAGATACTAGTGCGATGGTCGGATCGTCGCCCTGCCCCTTGCACGGTTGCGCGGCCCCAACCAGAAAGGTTGGATCGTCGGCTTGTCCCGCGCACGGCACCACACCGGCGCAGACTGCCTGCAGGCTGGCTGGAAGTGACTCACCGAGCTCCGGCAGTGGTCCCAGGACCGCGCCCGTCAGCTCCTCTTCGCTTGATATGCGAACCGTCGTTTGAGATGGCGGTAAGGGACTGAAGCCAACCGCCGCCGCGGCGAGGATAGGCAGCATAAACCTGTATCCTCTTGCGCCCCTAACGACTCGTGGCCGAGGTCCCGGACTCACAACCGGTGTATCCCTGCAGGGTTCGGGTTGCTTGGCGTCAGGGGTCTGCGACGCAGGCGTCCACCTTAGGGGACCCCTAGGGTTCTGAGGGCCGGATTTTTTTAAGACCTTTTAAGAGATTGGCGGCTCCAGAGCCGCCTCGGTGCGTTTAAGAGATTGGGCCCATGCTGCCGCTCCCATTTAAGAGACCATTTAAGAGAATCGCACACCGCGCCCAACCTGAGCCATTTGAGCCTAGAGCGTTTAAGCGCGGGGGGAGGCTGGCGGGCGGGCGGGCGAGCGAGCGGGCGGGCGGGCGGCAGAGAGCGAAGCGCTCTCGGGGCCGAGCGAAGAGCTTTCGCCGCCCGTCGGCAAGTTTTGAGTATAGACCATTCATTGGTGTGATCGCGTTTAAGGGCGCGGGGAGGCTGCCGAGTCGTTTGACCGTTTAAGACCGTTTAAGGAATCGGCGGCCCAGCAGCTCTTAAAACTTGCCTAGGCAAGTTTTAAGCCGTTTAAGCCGCAGGCGCCCCAGGGCCCACCCTTTTAAGCCTAGGGGTCCCCTAAGGCGTCCACCCATACCGCGCTGGTGTCCAATCCGAGGTTAATTGTTCTTCACCTTCCTACCTAACCTAACCTAACCTCCACTGTAGGTAGGTAGCGCGTGTTTTTCTCCCGGACCAACCGCTGTGGGTTAGGGGAGAGCGCTTCGCGCCCCATAGCGCATAGGCGCACGAGCTGCCCCGCAGAGAAGATGACAGCCTCTGCGCTGATAGGCACGCATTGTGCCGCCACGTACCCCTTTAAGTTCCGCAATGGCGTAAATTATACTGCGCTCATGTACAAACTAATTTACAATTAGTTAAATTACTCGGCTGCAGCAGCGCACTCACGGCGGCGCTTCCACCGCCGCTCCCTTCGTAAAAGGGGTCCAGGAGTCAGTCGTGGACTGGGCGGCTCAACGGTGCTGAGTTGCACGACTGGTACGGCGGTACGCCACACTGCCAGCGTGCCGGTAATGGCGAGCGCGCAGCACAGCGCAGCACTCTTCAGGCCGCTGCCTTCCTCGGCGCTCATCAGCGATGAGCGGGCAGGGGCTCCACACACCAGCGCTTCGGCTTAGTGGCGGTTCAGCTAGGTTCATTGTATACAGCTTGCCTTTGAGTAGTCAGGCAATGCTTCAATATTTGTCAGACCGTCTTGCGGTGTCTTTAAAGTCTTGCAAGTGCTGCGAAGAGATGCTACGGGGCCGTAAATAGCAGTATAGTCCGTCTTGCCCAGGCCCACATTGTCCAGCGGCCACTTGAACCCCGGCTCGCAATAGCCCGCCTCCCACGCCCACACGTCGCGTGGGTCGTGCTTCGCAATAGGCACTGGGAAGCTCTTGACACCCGCCTGCTTGGTGAGCAGCGAGATTGCAGCCTGATCGTGGCGGTGATCGCAGAAGGCTGCATCTTCGTGCTTGGCGTGAGCCTGCTTGCACGAGTCTCGATAATTCACGAAGTCTGTGTTTGCGAAGAGCGACGTGCTGGCATTCCAGCGCTGAAGAAGCTCGAATGCCGCAGGCTCTGCTCGCATTCCAATAATGCCTGCCCAAGAAGTGGCACTATCAAGTTGGGCGTCCGTCGCCACGAGTGCCCTGACCATCGAGTGCTGTGTCCACGCGCGATCACGAAAGCATGGGCTGTGAAAGGTAGCGAAGCTGCCCTTGACTTGCTGGGCGAGGCAGAAGAGTGGCTGCAACGACCGCGCTGGGCTCACAGGCGTATCGCGGTCAAGGTAGTAGAGAACATCCCCAGCGGGCAGAGCGCGTAGCCGCATCATGATGATGTGTGGCTTCCACTGCCAGAAGCCGATCCCGAGAGTCCTGAAGAGCTCCCTTGTGCGCATCGAGGGGGGAAGGTGGTTTGCATCGAGTGCTGTGCAGCTGTCCGTACTGGAATCTCTTCGAACTATTGCACATAATGTGTGCGCTGCTGCGCGAAAGCTGCCGTGGCTGCCAAACGTGAGCACGTGGAACCCAACCTTCTTGGTGCAAATGGCCTCATGCTTCACAGCCAGCGGTCGCCGTTGCTGCTGCCAGTAGTAGACAGACGAGCGCTCAAAGAGTGCGCCACCAGCAACGCCACCACATGCGAGCCGCGCCTCGGCGGCGTCCGTCACGTTGAAAAGGACGTGCCGACCTTCTGTGCCGGTGAGGCACCGGAGCGTGCACATTCAGCCGCCGCCGCCGCCACAACGACGACAAGGCCGTGGGGCTTCCGCCGCAAGTATCACGCGCACAGTGGTAAACCAAACATATTCCCGTGGTTCTAGAAGGAGGCGTAGAGGGCAGCTCAACCCTCAACCCCTCAACCACCGGAGTGCCGATTATACGTTCGGCGCGCGAAAACTCAAACGCGCCGTTGGCCATCATAAATGTCTCGCGCCGACCCCCGTCTCTTCGGCCTCGACCATCTGTGTAGCGCGCTGTCGGCTTGTGCGCTGAGCAGCGAGGAGCGCGCCCTTCTACTCACCGAAGCCGAGAAGCTCGTCGGTATTCTTCGAGGCAAACGAGGAGAGGACGAGGATGACGAGCCCGCGGTCGGCCTCATGGCGTTGAATGACCATGAGCTTCAGGCTATTGCCATCGCCACAGCCATGGACGACCTTGAGAGCGTGGGAAACGGCTGGGGCCCGAGCGTCGGCACGAGGGATCTAATGTGCATAGCGTTGACGTGCCGACGGCTGCGCGACATTGTATTCGCCATCTGTCCGCCGCGCTATGGCGGCCACGGGGGTTGGCAACTGTCACCACGCGTGCTGACGGTGATTCAGATGGGCTCGGCGTCCGTGGCGCGTCTCGAACTTGCCATCGAACTGGGTCTGCTGGACTGCGGCGACTCTATCGACCTGACAGACCTGTGCGTGGAGGCCGCCGCGTTCGGAAGGCGGAAAGTGCTTGAGCGAGCGGTCGCGGAGGGTGTGCGGTGCTCGACATACGATTTCGACGAGGCGCGTGTCCCACTCGTGCGAAGCACCAAGGTCCTCCGCGGCGCCGCGTACGGTGGGCAGCTCGACACCATGCAATGGCTCGCCTCGTGTGGCAGTCGGCCCGATGGCGGCGTCATGGAGGCGGCCGCGAGAGCGCGGAGTCGCGAGGCGGTCATATGGCTGCGGGAGCAGGGCTGCGAGTGGGACGAGATGGACCATGCTGGCGCCGTCGAGGTGGGCAGTGCCATCAACGGCTCTCTCGAAGGCTACTGTTTCTATGGGCCGTGGAGCGGGCGAGAGCGGCCAGCGGACCTCTCCTTTGTTCGCTGGCTGCGGGAGCTCGGCGCGCCGTGGTCGTCCCACACGCTGAGCCGGTTGATCGAGTGCGCGCATGTGGACATGCGCGACCTCCACTGGGCGGTGGCCGATGACTGCCCGCTGAGCGACGGGGCAGGGCTGAGTGCGGCGACGGCCGGCCGCGTTGACATCCTCTCGTGGCTGGACGCGCTCGATGCGCTGCCACGGAGCAAGAAGCTCACGCAGGCCGCGGCGTCCGGCGGCCACCTGGAGCGATTCTACGTTCACTGGAGCACCACGCGTGGTTGCATGGCTGCGGCAGCACGGGCACAGCCAAGTGGACTGGAGCGAGGCGCAGTGGGAGCCCCACCGCAAGCGGAAGCAGATGATGTACGACGTGTACTACCAGACGTGCAACTACACCAACGACTCTGCGGATGATGATGATGACGTGTCCTCAGTCGACTGGGTCGACGCGATCACACCCAGGGCCGGTGATGACTATGAACAGTTTGGGTACGATACCGTCTGACTACAATACCTCCGCCGTGGCACTGCCCAATCTCATATGGGGCGGGCGGCGGCGCCCCTCTCCGCGCTCTCATGCGCACGTCCCGCCCCCGCGAGGGCGCCGTAAACGCCCGCGCCGAGAGAGAGAGAGAGAGAGAGAGAGAGAGAGAGAGAGAGAGAGAGAGAGAGAGAGAGAGAGAGAGAGAGAGAGAGAGAGAGAGAGAGAGAGAGAGAGAGAGAGAGAGAGAGAGCCAGAGAGAGAGAGAGAGAGAGAGAGAGAGAGAGAGAGAGAGAGAGCCAGAGAGGCCTTGTGGAGGTTGTGCCCCGCTGGCCGCCGCGCCGCGCGGGCGGCCCTTCAACCACACGGTGACGCACACACGCCGGCGCGCGCCCTGAATCTCTCCTCTCTTTCTCACTTTTTATGGAGGGATATTCTTAGTACGGCTCTAAGCCGGCATGCTGTGCATGCGCGGCCGTTCAGAAACCCTCCCTCGCTCAAATGCGTCTGGCCTTGCGCTGCATCCTGCAAGACACCAAGAGAGTAAATAAATAAAAAATAACGAAGTAAAAACGGACACCTCTACTCGTACTCTGTGAGATGGGTAAAAAGCTAAAAGGAACAGGCCCCCGCCCGTGCGATCTTTGTGCAGGGTTCTTTGTGGGTGTGGTCGGCGACTAGCCGGGGTCGTCCTCCCGATGGTTGGTGGGCGAGAGACCGACCCTTGAGCTTATTATGGAAGCTCTCCCTAGAGAGAGGAACCCGGCGCTACCAAGCCACCAGTATCTGTAGCGTGCCCTAGAGGGTCTAGCACTTGGCCAGCTGGCCCTCCCACCCTATCCGGATCTTGACCTCTCCCGAGTCGGTCGCACTCCTATATCAGCCACGCGCCCCTCGCCCCCCTCTCACTCCCGCGACCACACCTCGATCTTCTTGGGCAGCAGCTGGTTCGACAGGTCCTCTCCATGGCCTAAGCGGCTGAGTCCGCCAGCGCCCCAGCTCCAGACTGCGCCGTCGGCGGTGATGGCGAGGCTGTGGCCGCCTCCAGCCGACACAGAGACGACGCGCTGGCCAGCAAAGGCCTCGACCTTCTTTGGCAGCATCTGGTCCTGCTCGTCGTCGTGGCCCAGCTGGCCTGAGTCTCCATCGCCCCAGCTCCAGACGGCGCCGTCGGCGGTGAGGGCGAGGCTGTGAGCGGCTCCAGCCGACACAGCGACGACGCGCCGCCCAGCAAAGGCCTCGACCTTCTTGGGCAGCAGCTGGTGCTGCTCGTCGCCGTGGCCCAGTTGGCCAGCGTATCCCATGCCACAGCTCCAGACGGCTCCGTCGGCGGTGATGGCGAGGCTGTGGCCGCCTCCAGCCGACACAGTGACGACGCGCCGCCCTGCCAACGCCTCCACCTTCTTCGGCAGCAGCTGGTCCTGCTGCTCGTCGCCGTGGCCCAGCTGGCCATAGGCTCCTGCGCCCCAGCTCCAGACGGCACCGTCGGCGGCGAGGGCGAGGCTGTGGAACGGTCCAGCCGACACAGCAACGACGCGCCGTGCAGCAAAGGCCTCGACCTTCTTGGGCAGCAGCTGGTTCTCCTCGTCACCGTGGCCCAACCGGCCCTCGCCTCCCCAGCCCCAGCTCCAGACGCTGCCGTCAGCGGTGAGGGCGAGACTGTGCACGGGTCCAGCCGACACAGCGATGACACGCTGGCCAACAAAGGCCTCGATCTTCTTGGGCAGCAGCTGGTGCTGCTCGTCGCCGTGTCCCAGCTTGCCGTCCCCGCCGCTGCCCCAGGACCAAAGGGCGCCGTTCGCGGAGAGAGCGAGGCTGAAGTAAAATGACGCCGCCACACCGATCGCGCGCACGCCTCCGGAGGGCGGGAGACGGGTCGGCGTCTTAAGCTGCAACACGCCCTCGCCGTGGCCGAGAAGGCCTGGACACTCCTCCTCCTCGTCCTCCTCGTCCTCCTCCTCGTCCTCCTCGCCCTCCGCTGCCGCGCCGCATGACGAGAGCCGCCCCTCGCCGTCGATAAAAACGCTGTGCCGTGCGCCCGCCGCCAGCCTCGCCGGCGGGTTAGCCTCGCGCAGCAAGGCATAGAAGCACAGCCACCGCACGGCGCAGCCCTCGCCCTCTGGCTGCGCCGGCGGCTCGTAGCCGGCCTCTTGCAAGCGCAAGCGGATGCCCTCCAGCGCCAGCGAGGCGTGGAAGAGGAGCGAGACGGCCGCGGCGCGAGCGATGTCGGCGGGGTCGCAGCGAGAGACGACGCGCACGAGGAGCTCCGTGGGGAGGTCGAGGAGGCGGGCGGGCGGCGGCGTGTTTGGCGCGGGGGCGGCGGCGGCGGAGGCGGGGGCGAGGCGGCGCGAGCGGCGGCGCGGCGGGGCAGACATCGCGAGAAAAAGAATTTCGTGGCGCGAGTCAGTCCTTTTCCTGCGAACGCGCACCCCCCCCCTAGCTAGGGGTCAGGGCTCTCTACGGCTCTAGCCCGTAGCCCGATGCCGATCATCCGGCTCGCTGGGTGCGCTTCTTAGCTCCCCGGCCCTGGATGTGAGGTTAATAACTGCACTCCAAGTGCTCCAAGTGCGGAGGGGCGGGGTGCGCGCTGTTCATCACTGCTCTATTTATTTATTACAAAAATTATTTATCGCGCAGGAACGACCTGAAGTGGGCAAGCGCTCCAGAGGGGCTGTTCCAGAACAGCGCGCCCGCGACGAGCGAAACTGGCGCCGGGCAGTACAGGCCGCACAAGTAGAAGAACGTCGACACGCGCCCGATCACCACCTGCCGCTCGGCTCGCAGCATCGCGAGCACTGCGCGCTCCGCCACCTGTGCGGCGCTCGTCGTCGGAAGTTTGAATATGAGGCCGTCCTCCGAGCCGCCCGCCTGCGCGAAGCCCGTGTCGGTTGCTCCCGGCAGCGCACAGGTGACGCCCACGCCCTTGAGGGCCAGCTCATAGTGCACCGCGTCGCACAGGTTTGACAGCGCCGCCTTGCTCGCACTGTAAGCTGCGTTGAATGGCTGGCCCGCAGAGCCGACGATCGAGCCGATCACGAGCACGCGCCCTTGGCGGCGCGCACACATCGGCGGCGCGAGCGTGCGTATGAGCTCGACGTGAGACGTGTAGTTGAGGCGGGCTGCCCACCGGTGCTCCTCGCGGCTGCACTCCACGAACTCGCGCCGGTCACTGGCTCCCGCTGCGCTCACCAGAGCCCCGCAGTACGCACCACGCTCTGCGAGGGCGCGGAGCACGGCCTCGCCGGCGTCGAGGGTGGCGTCGGCGAGGTCGAGTGGCAGCACACTCACAAGCACTCCGCCGCCACCCTCCGAAAGGAGCGCCGCCTGCACCTCCTTGAGCAGTGCCGCGCGCCGCGCGACGAGGAGCACGTTGAAGCCGCGACGCACGAGCTCGAACGCACACGCCTTGCCGATTCCCGAGGAGGCACCAGTGACCACCACGTACATATCACGGGCAGGCGAGAGGGGCAGCACGCGCGAGTACGTGAGGGAGATGGCGTGCCCGAGGAGCTGCAAACTCAGCGCCGCACCGAGTGCCACGAGGAGCACCGCCCTCGAGGACTCAGCCGGCGCAGCGGAGAGCCAGAAGAAGAGGCCGGCGGAGAGGAGCAGCGTCGTGGGGGGTGACATCTTGCGTTGACCGGGGGACGAAAGCTGACGAAAGCGTGGTTGCGCTCGCCTAGCTAGCAGAGCTTGGCAACCTTAGTGGCCGCAGGCCACACGCCCGTGTAGGGCGTGAACTAGTCGCGCGCGTAAGCGCGCGAAGAAAATTTTCAGAGATACGTACGTACTTTCCCTGGGTAAGGCCTTGTTTTCACGTCCTTAGCGAGTGATGCGATCACGTTCTTGTTTTGCCCAAAACAAGAACGTACTCGCACGTTCTTATTGATTGGCTGTGGCGTGTGTGGGGTGGTGGGTGGGTGGGAGAGAGAGAGAGAGAGAGAGAGAGAGATAAAACTTCTGTGATGCCATGCGTGACCTAGTAGTGTCCCCAGCTATGGGCGTGTCCACGTTGGAGCCAGGTGTGGTGTGGGCGCGAGAATAGCTCCGCCGTTCATGGAGGCAACCGATGCGAGTCGACTGGTGTGTGTCGTCGTGGTTTCGTATCAAGAATTCTCTCTCTCTCTGGGTGGGTGGGTGGGTGGGTGGGTGGGGGGGCTCTCGAGGTCGGCGTGCGTGGGTGGGGTGGGTGCGCCGTGGGTGCGCTGTTTGTGTACATCTGAACAAGTGCTCCAAGGGGGACTAATTTCTTTTTCGCACAAGGTGTAAAATTCTTTTTCGCAAGACCGTACAATCACGACCGTGTCTTCGAGCGACGCAGTTTGCCAACCATGTCTGGCCCTCGAGCGTCTGCTTGGTTCTTGCGGATGCAGGCGGCCATGATTGAGGACCGCCAGTCGAAGACGCTGCTGGCTGACGAGACTGTGCAGCGGCTGCGGGCGCATCGGCAGCGGCAGTGGCAGAAGGTGGCGGCAGACTTCAACAAGCGTCTGGACGAAGCGAATGAGCGCGCGGACGCATCAATCGCAGCGTGGCTCGCGGCTCACAAGGAGCGCGTCGCGCTTGGCATGACGACCGACGGTGGGACCACGACCGACCACTGCGACACCGAAGGCATGACCGAGGAGGTCGCGGACGAGAACGCGCCGCTGGTGAACGGCCAGGATACGTTTGGGCCGAGGGCGGCCGTTTCTCTGCGTAGATTAGGGCCAGGATTAGGGCCAGGAGCCGCCGGCGTCCGGCGTGCGAGGCCCGGCTCTTGCGCACCGAAGCGAGCGGAGCGAGCCGAAGAGAAAATTTGAGGATAAGGTCGTACTTGCATGTATGTACGTCCCTGTTTTGACAGTACGTACGTAGTGTCGAAGTACGTCCGTGGTTGAGCTGAGGCGCACGTACGCGAGGGTCGCTAGCGTGTCGTCAGCAAGGGCGTGTGGGCTGGGGGCATTTCCGCCCACGTTCTTGCGATACGTACTTGATTTCACGGTCGTGAAAGCAAGGTTGCCAAGCTCTGCTAGCTAGCTCGCTGCCGTGAAACAGTGCAGGTAATCTCGTCGTCAGCTGTCGCGATGCACCCGAAGGGGACACCAGCGCCAACATCATCGGTGGAGGTACAAGTGTCCGACACGAGAGTGGACCTGAGCAACGACATGACTTGGCGACAAATGATCGGAGTGGGCGTCAGAAGACTCGTCCTTGCGCGAGGAGAGCTCGATAAACTCGAGGGGCCAAAATATGCCGCGGGCGAGGAGGGCAGAGACCAGAGTTGCGCCGAAAGGCGGGAGAAGCAGCGAGAGCGAGGGACCGGCAGGCGGCGGCGCCGTCGCAGGATGAGGCAGAGGAGAGCGACGCGACAGAGGAAGAAGCGACAAGAGAGAGAACGACGAGAGTGGGACGACCGCGAGGTGGCATGAAGGCTGCAGCGAGAATCGGCGAGAGACTGCGAAGAGAGATAGGAAGAGGCGGACGCCCAAGGGTGGGCGACGGCTAGCGCATCACACCCCTCCCCTTATTAAAATCCCTGTGTGGTGGCGGCGTGCCATCCTCCCATCCCTCCCTTGATTGTCCGTTTTCTTTCTTAAAATCTTGTCTGTCGTGTGAATCGTGCGTGTGCGACAGGCTTTGGTTGTAAAATTCTTAAAATCCCAGTCGTCGGCAAAAATCTAAGAAACCACGGCGCGCCGCAGGCGCGGCCCCGAGAAAAGGCGCCAGACACGAGTGTTGATGTTGACCTTGTGGTACATGATCTCCTTCGCCTGGATCTCCAGGGTGTGAGGAGAGAGGGAGGATGGGCGGTGGCGAGAGCGGTGGGGAGGGTGGGAGGTGGGAAGCCGCATGGCGGCGGCGGCGGCGGCGGCGGCGGCGGCGGTGTGGCGGGGGCCGGCGGCGAGGGCGGTGGCGTGGCGAGGGCGTGGAGACGAGGGCGGCATCAACGGGCGGCGGCCACGGCGAGGGACGGGGCGGCTGGAGAGTGAGGTGCGATGCAGCCGCGCACGGCATAGGCTGGCCGATGGCAGCGAGGAAGGCAGGCGGGGCGGATGTGGGGGCGAGCCTCGTTGGCGATGCGGTCCTTCTTCTCCACCTTGGTCGGTGCCTTGTTCTTCTCCTTCTTGGCCTCGTGCTGCGCCTGAGGCGCGCGGGGGCGGGCGTGAGCGGCGGCGGCGGCGGCGGCGGCGGGCGGCGTCACTCGGCCCTCGGCCCTCGGGGCGGCTCGCCGGCCGCGGCGTCCGCGGCGGGCTTTGGCTTGGGCGAGTAGGCTAGCTTACGGGTCGCCGGCGTGGAGCCGTCCGGGTCCGCATCCAATGGCAATGCAAAATGCCCAGATCTAGCCGCAGCCCGCGCAATTTAGAGTACAACTTAGCACAAGACCTCCAGAAGTAACTCAGAGAGTGGCCCCAAATTCCAGATGCAATGCACCCACAACAAAGAACCCACAGACACGGGCCAAAACCCCAGCCAAATGCACATCCCCCCACAAGACCCAGAAGCCGACAGAGGCGACCCCACAGAGAAACGTGCCAACCAATGCGATGCGCACAAATGCTCAGTAGGCCCCTCACTCTCCCTCGCAAGCACCATCCCGCTATAGCTACACGATGGGTGGAGAAAAGTCGGAGAGCTGGATGATCTGGGCGCCGCGGTCGACGTAGCTCGCGACGATGGCGTAGGCCCGCCCGGCAACCACAAACGTGGCGACGCCGTGCGGACTATCCAGCTCGTCGAAGCCGTTCACCCCGTCGGTGACGCTCGCGACGGCGACGGGGGAGGACGGGTCGGTCAGCTCGATGATCTGAGCGCCGTCGCTGGTGCTCGCGACGATGGCGTAGGTCCGCCCGGCCACCACAAACGTGGCGACGCTGATTGCACCAGCCAGCGCGTCGAAGCCGTTCACCCCGTCGGTGACGCTCGCGACGGCGACAGGGGAGGACGGGTCGGTGAGCTCGATGATCTGCGCGCCGCCATCATTCCAGCTCGCGACGATGGCGTAGGTCCGCCCGGCCACCACAAACGTGGCGACGCTGATTGCACCAGCCAGCGCGTCGAAGCCGTTCACCCCTTCGGTGACGCTCGCGACGGCGACGGGGGAGGACGGGTCGGTGAGCTCGATGATCTGAGCGCCGTCGTCAATGGTGCTCGCGACGATGGCGTAGGTCCGCCCGGCAACCACAAACGTGGCGACGTCGACTGCACCCGACAGCGTGTTGAAGCCGTTCACCCCGTCGGTGACGCTCGCGACGGCGACGGGGGAGGACGGGTCGGTGAGCTCGATGATCTGCGCGACGCTGTCAACGCGGGCCACCACGATGGCGTAGGTCCGTCCGGCCACCACAAACGTGGCGACGCCACGTGCACCATCCAGCGCGTCGAAGCCGTTCACCCCTTCGGTGACGCTCGCGACGGCGACGGGGGAGGACGGGTCGGTGAGCTCGATGATCTGCGCGCCACCAGCGTAGCTCGTGACGATGGCGTAGGTCCGCCCGGCCACCACAAACGTGGCGACGCCACGTGCATTATCCAGCTCGTCGAAGCCGTTCACCCCGTCGGTGACGCTCGCGACGGCGACGGGGGAGGACGGGTCGGTGAGCTCGATGATCTGCGCGCCGTAGTCAGCGGCGCTCGCGACGATGGCGTAGGTCCGCCCGGACGGCGAGGGCGGCGGCAGCGAAGGCGGCGGCGGTGAAGGCGGAGGCGGCGAGGGCGGCGGCGGCGAGGGCGGCGGCGCCGCCGCCGGACGATATCGGCAGCACTGTGAGCAAACGTTTGGGGACCAAAAGCAGCAGCTGTCTCCGCTCCGAGCCTCGACCGGATATGCGCCACTACACGTTTGGTCGGCACACGTGTCTATGCCATCGCAATCCAGGTCAGCCGTGCTTGCCACGTGGTATTTCCTATCGCCCTCTCCCAGGTTGTCCTCTGCCCCTTGACCATCGTGCGTGAGCATCCGCCTCGTGGCCAGCGGCGGAGGGGCAGGAGGCGGCGGAGTGGGAGGCGGCAGCGTGGGCGGCGGAGGCGCCGGTGGCGGCGTGGGCGGCGGCGGCGACGGCGAGGTGGAGGGCGGCGGCGGCGTGGGCGGCGGAGGCGCCGGTGGCGGCGGCCCCACCACAAACGTGGCGACGCCATGTGCACCCTCCAGCTCGTCGAAGCCGTTCACCCCTTCGGTGACGCTCGCGACGGCGATGGGGTTCGGAAGCACCATCTGCGGGGGCGGCGAAGGATTCGGGATCGACGGCGGCGGCGTCGACGGCGACGGCGGCGGCGTTGGCGGCAACGGCGACGGTGGCGTCGACGGCGGCACCATGCCCACGAACTTCCGAACCGCCTCGAGCTCCTCCCTCACACTCGCGAGCCCCTGCGAGACACCGTCCTTCAGCTGCTCCGTGACGAACTCAGTGAAATTGTCGCGAAGCGCTTCGATCCGCTCGGTGACACTCTCCCCGTCCGCCGTGACAAAGTCCGTCGCGTGCAGCTCGCCGCTGCACGTCAGCTTGCCGCCCCCCTCGCCGGTCAGGCGGGTCGGCGTCAGGTCGGGCGTGCGACTGTTGAAGGAGAGCGTCGCTTTCCTCCCCGTGATGGCGAACTCGGTCTCGTCGCCAGTCGCGGAGGAGAGCTGCCGCCGCGCCGCTGCCGGCGGGCGAGCCGCGGCCGCCGGCGGGTTGGGCGGGGCCAGCTTGTCGCGGAGCGCGCCGATCTCGGCGTCCTGCGCTGCGAGCCCCTTTTCGCACGCCCCCACGCGCGCCTCCAGCGCCTCGAGGTCCGCGGCGCTCACCAGCTCGACCACCTCGCCGCCGGCCGACATCTGGACCTGCTTGTGGTCCGTCTTGCTCTTGCGCGCGGCGAGTAGCTCGGCGATCATCTCGTCCTTCTTCTTCATCTCCTCCTTGAACGCCTCGTCCTTCTTCTGCGTCTCCTGCTCCTTCTTCTGCGTCTCCTCGTCCTTCTTCTGCATGTCCCTCTTGAACACCGCGAGCTCGGCCATGATGCTCTTCAACGTGACGGGGCTCTCGCCGCCAGCCGCAGCCTCGGGCGAGTCCTTCGGCGCCTCGCCCATGATCGTGTCGGCCGTCTCCGTCTCGTGCACGATGGCGTCCGAGCGGAGAGCCGCGAGCGGCGCCGGGAGGAGCTTGGTCGCGAGGAGCGCGGCGCCCGCGCCTGTGCGTACGAGGGAATGGGCGTTAGCATGCGGCTGCTGAGTGGAGCCTCTCCCTCTCCCCCCTCCCCCCTCCCTCCGCGGTGTGCGCACCGGCAGGCCAGAAGGTGAGGGCGGAGCAGCCCAAGGCCAGCACCGCTGCGAGGAGGACGCAAACGCCCATCGTGCGCGTGTGCGAGGCGTGCTTGGCGAGGCAGTTCTTGCGCGGGAGCAGCGAGGCGTCCTTGCGGTCGGCCGCCTTCGAGAAGGGAGGGGGGAGGGGTGGGGGGGATGAGAGGAGGGGGGGGCGGGGAGGCGGGGCGGCGGGGATTGCGGAGGGGGGGTGGGGGGTGGGGGTGGGGAGGGCGAGGGTGGGGAGGCGCATGACGGCGGCGGCGGCGGCGGCGTGGGTGTGGCGGGGGCCGGCGGCGAGGGCGGCAGCGTGGCGAAGGCGTGGAGACGAGGGCGGCAGCAACGGGCGGCGGCCACGGCGGCTGGAGAGTGAGGTGCGATGCAGCCGAACACGGCATAGGCTGGCCGATGGCAGCGAGGAAGGCAGGCGGGGCGGATGGGGGCGAGCCTCGTTGGCGACGCCGGCGGCGCAGTCCTTCTTCTCCGCCTTGGTCGGCGCCTTGTTCTTCTCCTTCTTGGCCTCGCCGAGCTGCGCCTGGAGCGCTCGGGGGCGGGCGTGAGCGGCGGCGGCGGCGGCGGCGGCGGTTGGGTTGAGGGGGGGGCGGGCGGCGTCGCTCGGGGCGGGTGCGCGGAGGAGGGAGAGGTGCGGCGCAGCCACAAAAGGCACAAGGCAGAAGCTCTCGACGGTGTTGAGGGAGTTTGGGCGGGGCGAGGGAGGACGGGGGCTCCTCAGTCTTCATGTCGGCCTGCGGCGCGCCCTTCTCCTCGGTCTTCTCCTCGTCGGCCGTGGTGAGGAGCGCAAAGGAGTTGGGGCTGGGCCGGTGCTCGCCGGCGGCGGCGTCCGCGTCGGGCTTGGGCTTGGGCGCGTAGGCTAGCTTGCGGGTCGCCGGCATGCAGCCCTCCGCATCCTGCGTGGGAGGGGTGGGAGGGGGGGGCGACGGGAGTGGGTGGCGGGGGAGGCGGGGCTGGGAGGCGGCGGGGCGGAGGGTAGGGCCAGGGTTCGCAGCTCGCCGGTCCCGGGGCGACCGGCCGCGTAGAGAGCGCCTTCGCGCGCAGCGCGTACGCGTCTCCCCCTCGTACGACGATGCCCGACACTTGCTTCGCCTTGGGCGCGGTCTTCAAGGCGGGCGTGCCGGCGTCGGCGGCTGCGGCGGCGGCCGGTTCCGCCGGCGCCGAGCCATCGAACTTGAAGTCCGCCCAAAAGCGGCTCGGGGCGTCCTTGGCGTCGACCCGCGCCGTCGGCTTGCACATTGAGAGGTTGAGGGACACGCGGGCACCGAGGCCGCCGCTTGCGACCGGCTTGGCGGAAGCCTTGATGAACGTCCGGCGCGAGGGCGGGACGAGCTTAACGTCGTCGCGCGGGAGCGACGAGGTCACCTTGCTGCTGAGGTCACGCCGTGCGGGTGGCGCCCGGGTTGGGATCCCTAACGAACCCTAACCCTAACCCTAACCCTAACCCTAACCCTAACCCTAACCCTCGGCTGTGGGTCAGGCTGTGCTGTATAAGGCGCGCGAGACTGGGTGCTTTGCTACCTTGCTTGCTTGTGTCTCCCGTGGCCGGGACGGTTGGTTGGGTGGTGGGGGTGGGTCGGTCGGTCGGTCGGTGGGGGTGGGTTCCTCGCCTCATCAGCCGGGCGTGAGGTGGGTGGGGCTGGGGGTGGGTGGGTGGTTCCAAGCCTCAGCCGGGCCGTGAGGTGGGCGGGGTGGGGGCGGGGTAGAGGCACGTGGTGAGAGAAAAAACGCAACGCGTTGTCGCAGTTTTCGCAGGGATGGTGCTGGAATTCTCGTTCCATGCGGATAGCCTACATCGCCGCCGGCCTCGCCGTGGCCTGGACGGTGGACAGGCTCGACGCGCGACTGAACCCAACGGCGACCCGCTCTCCTCTCCGTCTCGCCGTCCTCCGGCTTGGCCTGACCGAGCCGGCGTGGACGTCGCCGCTCAACTTCGGCGTGAGGGACGGCGCCTTCGCCTGTGCTGGATGCAGTGCGATCCTCTTCGACTCGTCCGCCAAGTTTGACTCTGGCACGGGCTGGCCCTCGTTCTGGAGGACTGCAGCGGAGAGCGCCGTCGGCTACCGGGAGGAGTACGCCGGCGGCGGCTACTTGGACGGCGGCAGCGTCCGCTCCGCGACCGAGGTGCACTGCGAGGCGTGCGGCGGCCACCTCGGCCACGTCTTTCTCGACGGGCCAGCCATTGAGGACACGGCGCCCGCGCTGGCCGTGCCGCCGTCAGACCCACGGGCGGGTGCGCGGCGGCCGCGCTTCTGCGTCAACGGCGCGGCGCTCCGCTTCCGCGCCCGAGTGGCGTGAGCGCACGCGCATGCGCTAGTCTGCGAGGCCTTGCTATATGAGTGTGTCTAGTTGAGTTCTGCTCACCTCTGCGGCGCGACGTGGATTGCGCTTGTGTAGTGTATATGTTGCAAGGGGAGAGCTCAGCACCACCGCGTGGGCGACGACAGGGCTTGGGCTATCAACGGAGGAGCAGGAGGTTGTACAACCATCCCACTCGACGACATCGGTGATGGGGCCTCTAGCTACGCCGATAACAAAACAAAACAAAACACCGAGCGCCGCGCAGGCGCGACACACACTTTCACTTAATGCATGTTATGCTCAAGTCAACCCGACCGGCGGTGGTGGCACGGACGACTTTGGCGGCAACTACCCAACGATTTCGGCTCCGACACGTGGACGGCCTGGACGCGCTTTCCGACTCGGACTGAATTTACCGTCGAGGGCCAGCAGCGGCCCGCCCTGCATGACCCCGTGGCTCACACCGCCAGGGCCAGAGGAGCGACGCCACAAGGATGCCCCCTCCACCTCGTGCAGCCTGCCGCGCTGCCTCCACGTGTTCGCGATTAATAATTGAAAAAGTGGCATGTGCCCAGGTCGTCGGTGGTATAGCCCGCGTGCACGTTAACTTATAATTAGACTTGCCTCATGCAGACTTTCTTTTTTTTCGTGTGTCAGAGATTGGGTCTTCAAGCAAATCTTCCCCTCAGCTTGGAGCACTTGGAGTGCAGTCATCAACCGCACATAACTAATAAAAAATCAATTCAGGGGTATGGCGCCTTTGGAACCGACCGAGATCTCATTAGGTCTACTCGAGTATTCGTGCACGCCAAAATCGGATAGGATTCCTCGGGCTCAGCATTCGATGAAGAGAGCCTTCTCATGCCCGAACCTGGTGCTCGTCGAGAAGTATAGCACGGGGGGAGAAGGGTGTGACACCAGCGAGGGCAGCGAGGACAGCGAGGATCTGGCATCAACTCGATACGATTCGCCGAGCCCCCTCCCGATTTTCGTCGCCCGTTCGCAATCGCTCAGCCCTGCCGTTGTCCCGCCCGTTGTCCACGCCTCGTTGAACACCGATGACGATGTCACCGCCCGCCACGGCTGGCCAACCGCCAAGAGGTCGCTCACCGCCTGCTTCGCGCACCGCCACCTGCCTCCGCCGCCCGACGCCAAACCTGCCTCTCCGATTCTCCGTCGAGTGATTAGCCTGCCCTTGGCTTGGGCGGAGATGAGGACGTCGCCGACCAACGACTTCGAGGAGGTCCTCGCGGCTACCAGCTCTCTCTCCCCCTCGTCCTCGAGGAGGTCCTCGCTCTCCTCGTCACCGCTCGGACCGGTGCGCGGCGCGAGGCCCAGTTCCAGTTCGGACCTGGAGCAGGTCGCCGTCCGAACCGGTTTCCGCCGCAATGTCTCCTTTGGCGAGGGCGTCGAGCTCGAGGTGACGCGCCCCCCTCTCCCACAGCCTCGCCGCCCCTCTTCTCTCCCTTGGCCTCCCGCCCCCCTGCCACACAGCAGTGGCCGACGCCCCTCCCCCTTTTCTGGAATGCGCAGAGCACCTTCCTCGTTCCGGATACTCACTACTCCTCGCAGAGCTTGAGCCGCGCCTATGGCGAGCCTTCCTCGTTGTCCGACAGCATGGTCGGCAAATTCCTCACCGTCATAGGCGTTGTGCCATAAGCCCTACCGTAGAGCCTCTTTTCCTAGACGTAGAGAGCACAAGCCATTTTGGCACATGCATGCCCATGGCCATACCGCATACGCGCTGTAGATCATGCAATTGCTTGTAGACTTGTCGTGGAGGCGCGAATCCATGTGGGCGCGAGAGAGCAGCAATAAAAAGAATTTCGTGCGCCGAAAAGCTTAAAAAATAATACAATCCAATCCTCTCGACTCTATCGTGAGCCTGCAGTCTCGTGTCGAGCGTCGAGGGTCGAGGGTTCTAGAGACTGCTACAACTCGTCCCGCGGCGCGACTTTGTCGTGCCCATCCCCTCCACCCCCCTGCCGCCGCTGCGCCCCCCCGATCCGCTGCGCCACGAGCAGCGCCGCATTCGCCCCGCTCACCGCTACCACCTCCATGGCCGACGTCGCGGCCTCGACGGCCGACGGGTGCAGGAGCAGCGCGCCTAAAAAGAAACACAGCGCGGGGGTGAGTCCTGTTTCCGACACCTCCGAAGGGTGCAGGGGCAGAGCGAGCCGGCCGCGGTCTCGTGCAGCACGAAGGTGCCGAGCCCACTCGGCCGGGGTCGGCTCACCTATGACCGAGTCCGGAGAGCCGGTCGATTGGCCAGCGAGGGGGGAGGGCTGCGACCAGCTAGGGGCGGCGCGGATCGCCTGCTCATTCACGAATCGATGCATTCACCGATGAATGAAGGAGTGGTCACATGGGCGATACCCCCTTCGAGGGCGGCTCGCCGGGTACGCGCCGGGAGCATCCCACACGTGCCGCCGCGTGAGGGCGTCGTCGTGGCAGAGAAAGAGCGGCGCGAGGCGCTCCTCCGACAGCGCGTCGCGCGAGAAGAGCTTCCACCGCGGGGTCGGCGACGTTGCGTACAGCCGGTCGCACGCGCCGGGGGAGCGGGAGGGGCCTGCCGAGAGATAGCCGAGTTTATAGCCGAGAGATGGCCGACAGATGGCCGAGAGATGGCCGAGAGATGGCCTGGCGGCGCTGCCTCGCCGAACCGCCCGATCGAGAGGAAGGGAACGTCGGCGTCGGCCGCGGTCAGCAGGTCCGAAAAGGCGGCGTTGAAGGCAAGCGCTTCCTCCTCCGTGCTAGCGCCGTCGTCTGCCTCGCCGTCCGCGCGGGCGCGGAAGAAGGCGGGGTCGAGCAGCCTAGCGGGGAATCGAGGGGAAAGGAAAGGAATCGAGGGAGAATCTAGACGAAACTTGGAAGGGACTTGGCGACCACAGCGGGAGACGGGGCCGAATACGTCCATGAGTGCGTCGTCCGCTTCTAGGGTCCAGCAGCCCCCAAACCAGCGTCACGTGAAGTCGCTGGTACTCCAACAGAGAGCATCGCTGCAGCAGACCGCCGCCGTCCGGTGCGGCGGCGCAAGGGGCAGAGTAGATGACGTGGTCGTAGGTCGCCGCCCCCTCCTCCCCCGCGGCGCCTGTGTACGAGAGCTCGGGCACCACTATTCAAACGATTAAGTCCCCCCCCCCCCCCCTTTTCCTGGCGGTGCCTGTGTACGAGAGGGTCAGCCGACCCCCTTCGCCCTCCCGCACCGCCCTGACGCTGTGCGACGTGCGGACCGTCGCATTCGAGGCCGCCAGCAGGCCGCGCGCGAGCGCGCCTAATTCAATTGTCATCAGCTCAGAACCTTTCAGAATCATCCACGCCAGCAGGCCGCGGCGCGAGCGCGCCGTTGCCGCCGACGACGCTGAACGCTGCCGACGAGCCGCCGGCGGCCAGCGGCGCCACGGCGGTGAAGCAGCAGAGGGCTCCGCTCGGTGCCCAAGCCTAGCAGTAGCATGAACTGATCCACTGATTCATCAACTCATTGATTGAGCTGTGGTACGCTCTGCGCCCAACCCTACCCACAGCCGACGCCAGGAGGCGCTACTGAGTGGGACCAAGGTGTGGGCCCGGTGGGCTCGGGGTGCTAACGCCTGCCCGCTGCTTCTCTTCCACCTGGTGGTGCGATGGGCTCCCCCCGTGGGGAGAGGCCAGCGTGCTGGCGGCTGCCCTCTGTAGCACCAGGTGTGCAAAGGAAAGAGGGGGCTCGGGGTGCTAACGCCTGCCCGTAGTTGTTGTGCATGAGTCCAGCCACCAGCTCCTCCACCAGCCGGCCCTCGCCTGTTCACGGCCACAGCCGTGAAGAGACGCTGTTCACAGCCACCAGCTCCTCCACCGCCGGCCCTCGCCCTCGCCCCCTACCCCCGCCTCCGCCATCGCCGCTGCGCAGGTCATGCGGGGCCACGCCTCCAAGCCCGCCTTCGTTAGCAGCAACCAACTAATTAGCTAACAAAGGAAGGGCATGCAGGCCAACGCCGCTGTGCTCGCCGCGGCAAGCAGGTCGTCGGCCTCGCGGAAGGCGCGCCTGGCGGATGAAACTCAACCAAAGAGTTCACTGATGTGAAGTGCGTGTGTATTTGGTCGCTGGCCCTCGCGGAAGGCGCGCCCGGCGGCTTGCGCCTCGTACAGCCGCGAAAAGTTGGAGATGAACTCGGACCCCCGCCGCCGAAGCCGGTGGAGTGGCCGCAGCCCGTACCGCGAGAGCAGCCGCCAGGCGGTCTGCACGCCGGATGGCGCCTCCTCGAACACAATCCGCCCGTTCGCGCCCACGATACCGAGCCTCCCGCCTCCGCGACCGCGTGCTTCACTGCGCAGCTGCCTGGAGAGGCCGAGTGCAGTCGCGGCCTCTGCAACGTACCGGTTCTGCACGATGGCCATCGAGGCGCCAAGCTCCACGGAGGCGTCACCCTCGCCGGTGTCGAGCGTCCTCCCGCCGACGGCCGATGACCTCTCGTATACGTCGATACGCACCGCCGGTGAAGCATTGCGCAGCCACCAGGCGGCAAAGGCGCCGCCGATGCCGCCGCCGATGATTGCCACGGAGGGAGTCGGTTGGATCGGCTGGGGCGCCTGCGACGCCAGCATGTCGTCGCTCGCAGGCACAGAATTTTTTTATCCTACCAAAAAGCTAGGCCCATAACGCCCTCTATGGAGAGATTTTTTCAAATTCTAAGCCGCTCCCTGTGTGGTGGCGGCGTGCCGTCCTCCCATGGGGCCACCAAAAATGTCAGCAGAGTCTCCTACGGGAATGTACGTAAGAGCTACATAGACTGAAAATCGCACTATTCTCGACGCGCGTCGAGATCCAAAACTCGACGCAGCCAAACTCCAAGCCCAAATCTGGCCAGCCCCATTCCTACCAACCGTCGGCTTTCGCCGCTTCCCGTTTCCTTGAGCACCAGGATGACAGAACTGGCATTGTGCAATCACCGTAATTTTATTCTTTTCGAGCGCCGTGGACTGACGTGGACTGCCGGCTCGATGCCGGCGGTCGACAACTGCCGTTCGAGCAGCGTCGGTTACCGCCGGCAAGATGAACTCACCTGAAGCTGAGCCGCGGCATGCCGCCCCGCCTGCGGCGTGCCGCCCCGCATGTGTAATGCAGCCCGAGCCAGTCGGCGCCCTCCAGGACGACAGCCTTCTCCTCTCCATCGCCGCGCACCCGCACCTCCTCTCCTCCCTCCTCCTCGCGCTGCCCGCCGCCGACATCGCTCGTCTGCTGTCCGTCTGCCCGTCTCTCCGCGCCGACGCCGCCACGCTCCTGCCCATGACGATGCGGCTCCGCGGCGTGACGCCCGGCTCGTCGCTCCGCGTTGTCTCGCGCGCCGAGGCGGCGCTGCTGCACGAGGACTTCTCCTCGGGCTTCTCCTCTCGCTGGGAGCGCGGCCCGTCGGCGCCGCCGCCCAGCCGCGCGGCCTACCGCCTTCTCGAGGTGACCCCAGGCCCTTCCCGGGGCGGCGGAGCCAGCTCGTCCGCTCCGGGTCGCGAGGCGCCTCTGGGCAGCTCAGCTGTCAGCTTCTCCCTCCCCCTCGCGCCGGGCTGCCGTGCCTTGCACGCCCCTTCTTCGCAGCAGCAGGGCGAGAGGGCGGAGGTGCTCCTGCTCGCAAAGGCGGCGGCGGGCAGCCTGCACGCGGCGTGGCGGGGCGTGGCGCAGTGGTGGGTTCAGCCCGCCGGCGACTTCCGTGGCGCCGCCTTTCGCGCCAGCGCCTCTGACCTCGTCCTCACCTTCCACCCGTCCTGGCAGCGCGGGGCTGCGTGGAGGCCGAGGTCGCATTCCAGCATTGCCACGACACCGCATATGCCTCCGTAGGGACCCGCCGCGGCCGCGCCATTTCCTGCGCGTCTGCGGCGGCTGGCACATGAACTTTAGCGGCTGCGTCCGCGAGTTTGGAGGCGCGGTGAGGCCCGGCCGCATCTCCTTCTCGTTCAGCCTCGCGCGCAAGAGCAGCACGCGCGCCTTCTTCAACGTCTACCTGTCGTCCGCGGCGGAGCGATACGCGGACGAGGTTCGCCGTTGCACTCTTTCGCCCCAGAGAGGCGCGTTGCGGACCTACCCGCGTCTTTCTTTCTTCCCCACAGGCGGTCTTTTACGCCGGCAGCCCGGACCACCCGCCCAGCCCGCCCGACGTCTTCACCTTCCTGGCGGGCACGCGGCTGGCTGCTCGCGACGGCTCGGCCGGGCTCATCGAGCGCACAGTTTACGAGACGGAGAACCAGCTGTGGCTGCCGTCAGGGCACAACGGATCCTGTCGAATCCGGCAGCCAGGGGCGCTCAAGGAGGGGCACGGCCCATTGCAAGACTTCCTGAGCCAGGAGGAGGCCGTGCAAGGCGACGGCTGGCAGCGCGTCCAGATGGAGTTCGACTGGGCAGCGATGCGCGTGCACTGCTTTGTCAACGGGGAGGTGATGCGGAAAGAAAATGCCTTTTTGCCAGGAGTGAGTAGACTCGAACAGCTTGCCGGACTGATTGGGCCAGAAGCGCTCCCGTTTGGGCCAGAAGCGCACGAGACGGTCAGCGAGGATGAGGGCGGGGCGCTGCACGCCTCGCTGCGGGGCGGCTTTCGGCGGATCTACCTCTTCACCTGGCTTGAGGCGGACGGCGACCCCGAGGAGGCGCCCGAGGTGCGGATCGG